TGTAGAACGGTGCACTCTAAACGATCTTTGACCCTTTTCAGGTTGATAGGCAGCAACAGCTGCTTCTCTGAGGACAATGCTGATGTCTTTCCACCTAGACATTGTGTTAACACACACCTGTGGGGGTCTGGATCAGCAGAGACCCTGCACCTGGCTGTTCCTGGACCTCTGAGGTCACATGGACGAAGCGAGGCTGGAACCAGTCTGTCTCTGGATCTGCAGGTTTTGTTTGTTAAACATAAAACAGAGTGATACATCGTCTGCTGCTCCGAGGTCAGAGGACCCGATCTGACGGCAACGGACTGTTTAAAACTTTAAAACACACACACAACCGTTATTTATGTTTAGCTCCACGACATGGCTCCGCCTCCCCTGAACACACCTGCACACTTGAACATGCCTGCTGTGCGTGCGTCTCTGTGTGTGTGTCAGGTTGTCTCCGTGGTTACAGCAGAGCAGCTGTCACTCATGGGTCTCATTATGGGATGGGAGATGGGTGTTGTTATGGAAATGCAGCCTTCAGGTCTGACAGGAAGTGATGTTCACAGGTAGTCTCACCTGCAGCAGCTTGATTTAAACGATCAAAACGTTCCAGGAAGGAGCCAATCAGAGGGAGTCATGTCACTGATGAGGGGGCGTGTCTTAATCACACACACACACACCTGAGAGGATCGACTTTGTGTTCAGATTAACAGAAACAGGAAGTGACATAATCTGTCCCAAATTAAACCTGCATAACCTCACATGTGGTCCACAGCTGGTTCTGGTCCACAGTTAGTTCTGGTCCAGAGTCATTCCACCTGCAGGTGTGTCTGTGAGCCCCGCCCACCTACAGCAGGTAGAACCCGACAGGTGAGAACTCTTCATGACATCAAACCTGTTTTCAAACCGTCCAAATGACCCGGTTCAGAGTTCCGAGGGCGCAAAACGGGTTCTGGTCTAAAATAAAACCTGGATCTGGATCAGGCTGACTGAGTGGATCAATTCTGAGCCACGCAGAACCAGAACAGAACCAGGAGTCCATCTGACACCAGAACAGAACCATAAAAACCCTTTAAAGGATGTCTCCAGTCCAGGTCAAGACCTCCTGACCCATAACTGTTGAGCCAGACCTCATGTCTTCCTGTAATGATCTGGACTTTGTTCCACCGGTGGTTCTGTACCATCGGGTCTCTGAACTTCCTGCTCTTTGACCTCCGTCTGACAGAAAAACATCAAAGATCTTAAAAAATATATTTATTTAAAATAAAACCGAGTGTCGTCAGTCAGTCTGTGACTCGCTTCTCTTTGGATCAGAACCGCAGCATCACTCTGACCCGACCAGCCAGGTCACGTACCAAACGTCGTCCAGCTGACCCAGAACCATCTGACTCAGAACCACCTGACCCAGTTCTGGCTTCCACTAAGAAACCGAAATGTCTCCTTCCAGAGGATCCGATATAATCAACTTTAAACAGTGAAAATCTTCTTTATGTTTAAATTGTTTTGTTCTTATATTTATAAAACATAAATGAATAAATATTAAACATCTAAATATTTTAATTTGTTTAAAGTACTTTAATAAAACATTTAAGTAATTTGTAATATCTTAAACCTTTTAAATTATAATAAAATACCATTTAAGAAATAATTTACTAAATTTATTACAGATATAATATATTTACATAAATTATAATAATATAATAAATGGTTTTGTTAAAAAAATAGTAAAATATGTATTTATAAACTTTTAAAATAGATTTTATTTCACATCTTTAATGACACGAAGTTTAAAATCCATCAGAGAAACTACGGTCGGTTCTGATTGTGAATTCTTAACAACAAATCAAATGTTTCAGTGGAAACAGAACCAAACAGAACCAAACAGAACCAAACAGAACCAAACAGAACGGTTTCTGAACAGAACCGGGCTTCATCAGAACCAGATGAACCAACAAACAGCCGGAGGATCAGAAAGTGTCAGAGTTCCTTTTAAACGGTGAGAAGATTTTAAAATATTAACGAGAGAAACATCAGACGTTTTTTAGAAACATACAAACACACACACACACACACACACACACACACACAAATGCAGAGAGGCTCAGAGCAGGAACACGAATGCATCACCAGCCTCTTCAGCTCAGATACACAAACTGAGTCTCTGAGAGGAGATTATATAACACACACGCGCACGCGTGCGCGCGCACGAACACAGGCTCAGCTGCAGTCTGTGTGATCTGACGTGTAAAATGAAAATGTTTCTGCAGGACTGAATCTGGATCTAAAACCTGAACTAAAACATCAAACAGAATCTCTTCCTTCCGGGGTCAAGGTCAAAGTTCAGAGGTCAGCCCCTCCTCATCCTCAGAAGGCAGAGCTTCAGCTCTCAGTCCTGAACCTGTTTACAGAGGTGATCCAGAAATAAGGAAGTTCATCCCGAGTTTAGGACAACTGACAAAAAAACTTGATTATATCACCACGGCAACCAACTCTGAAGAAAACCTGACTGTAAACAACAACTGACCTGATTGTAAACAACAAACAACTGACCCCTGTCTGTAAACAACAACAAATTTGTAAACAACAACAACAACCAAACTGTCTGTAAACATCCATCCAGCCATCCATCCTCTTCCTCACCTCCTTAGGGACTGAACTTCTCACCCTGTCTCTAAGGGAGAGTCCAGCTACCCTGCAGAGGAAACTCATTTCAACCTCCTGTATCTACGATCTCCTTCTTTCAGTCTCTACCCAGAGTTCATGACCAGAGGTGAGGGTAGGAACGTAGACCAACCAGTGAACAGCGAGCTTTGCCTTACAGCTCAGCTCTTTCTTCACCACAACGGACCGGCTCAGAGTCCACAATACTGCAGATGCTGCACCAATTCGTCGGCCAATCTTACGCTCCATTCTTCCCTCACTCATGAACAAAACCTGGAGATACTTGAACTCCTCCACTTGAAGCAGAACCTCACCCTCGACCTGAAGAGAGCAATCCTCTCTTTTCCGGTTGAGGACAAATGACCTCAGATTAGGAGGTGCTGATTCTCGTCCCAGCTGCTTCACACTCGGCTGCGAACTGCTCCAGTGAGAGCTGAAGATCACGGCACGATGACGCCAACAGGACCACATCATCTGCAAAGCACAGAGACTGAAGCCTGAGGCCACTGAACTGGACTCCCTCTACCTCCTGGCTGCACCGAGAAATTCTGTCCATAAAAGTTAAGAACAGAATCTGTGACAACGAGCAGCCCTGGTGGAGCCCAACTCCCACCCTGAAGGGTCCGACTTACTACTGGGAATGTGAACCAAACTATTGCACCGCTTGTATAGGGACTGAACAGCCCGTAACAACAGGCCCCCAATCCCATACTCACGGAGCACCCCCCACAGTGTACCCTGAGGAACACGGTCAGATGCCTTCTCAAAGTCAACAAAACACATGTAGACTGGATGGGCAAACTCCCATGACCCCTCGAGGACCTTAGTGAGGATAAAGAGCTGGTCCAGTGTTCCACGGCCAGAACGGAACCAACATTGTTCCTCCTGGATCTGAGGTTCGACCAACGATCGGAGACTCTTCTCCAGTACCCCTGAATAGACCTTACAGGGAGGCTAAGGAGAGTGATGCCCCTGTAATTTGAGCACACCCTCTGGTCCCCCTAAATAACAACCCATCTGTAAACAACAACAACCTTCCTATGCCTTCACATCAATGTGAAGAAGACAAAGGAGATGGTCATGGACTTCAGAAATAGCAAATACAACTATCCACCATGAGGAGGATTTGCTGTGGAAGTGGTCTCCAGCTACAAGTACTTGGGGGTGCACCTGAATGACAACCTCAGCTGGAGCAACAACACCACCAGCCTGATCAAGAAAGCTCATCAGAGACTCTACTTCCTCAGGTGGCTGAGACGAGCTGGTCTGGGAAGCTCAGTCCTCACCTCCTTCTCCAGGTGTGCAGTGGAGAGCATCCTGTGCTCCAGCATCAACATGTGGCATGGAGGCTGCACAGCTGCAGAAAGAAAAGTTTTGCAGAGAGTGGTGAAGGCTGCACAGAAGTCTGTTGGAGTCAGCCTCCCCACCATCACAGACATCTACACCGCCAGATGCAGAAAGAGGGCCACCATGAAGGACCTCACTCACCCAGCATACACACTTTTTGCCCCGCTCCCCTCAGGCAGGAGGTCAAGGAGCATTAAGTGTAGAACCACTAGACTGAGGAACAGCTTCTACCCTGAGGCTGTGTAGACTCATGAATCTCTAATCAGGATAATCTATGTGGGAAAAAAATCACTGTAATGCCACTTGATTGTTGATATGTGCTGCTGATTATCCATGCTGCTGATCTCTTGCCTTTAAGCTGCTGTATTCATACCCATCTGCTCACAACAGACTCATGTTCAGGCTGCTGTTTAATACACTGTATTATTTTACATTATTAGTGTTTATCTTAGATCTTTGTATACCATCCAACCATCATCTTTACCCACTTCTTTCCTTTCGGGTCACGAGGGTCGCTGGTGCCCATGTCCAGCAATCACAGTGCGAGAGGCAGGGGACATCCTGGACATGTCTCCAGTCCATCACAGGGACACACAGACAAACAAGACAACCATTCACTCTCACCTAGGGACAATTTAGTTACCAGTCAGTTTAACATGCATGTTTTTGGTCTGTGGGAGAAAACCCAAGTATCTGGAGAGAACCCACGCAGCACGGAGAGAACATGCAAACTCCACACAGAAAGCTCCCAGGCTGGGATTTGAACTAGCAACCTTCTCGCTGAGAGGTGGCAGCTCTGCCTACTGCGCCACTGTGCCGTTTCTTTTTACACTTTATATTTTTGCCATCTTTAGGTGTAACTGGGACTTTGAGTAAACAATGTTGTTCCACCTCGTGCATCACGTGATGAGAATGACAATAAAAAACTTTGAACCCGTCTGTAAACAACAACAACCAACCTGTCTGTAAACAACAGTTGAGTTGGCTCCTCCCCCTCAGGTAAGGCTCACCTGTGCAGTGTCCGAGGCGTTTTCCAGCCACGCAGTCGAGCACGGCGAGCGTCAGGTTGTCGGGAGTGTCAGGATGAAGAGGTGTCCCTCCTCCTCCTCCGGAGCTGCTGGTGTCGTTGATCAGGCTGGCCTCGGAGCTCTGCTCGTCGCTCGACAGAGACGGACTGCGCACGTCTCCTCCTCCAGAACCAGAACCAGAACCAGAGCCGTTAGCGCTGCTGGGCGCAGAGACCGGACCGGTGGCTGAGGGCCAGGAGGGGGGGTCCTCACTGTCCGGGCTGTGGGGGTAAAGGTCATAAAGGTCAACGTTCTGCTCTGAAGTTCTTCCTCCTGAACAATCAGAAGGTTCTGATTTAAGATTTTAATTTTTATTCAGCTTGTTCAAATTTTAAACAGGAAGTTATAAAAAATTAATCTTAACAAAATAAAAGTCTAAAAACATGTTTCTGGATTCAATTGCAGATTAAAGATGAAACTTTCAAACATTTAAACACCAAGGTCCTCCCAGGGGTTTTCCCAGGGGTCCACCCAGGGGTCCTCCCAGGGGGTCTCCCCCCCCCCCCCCGGGGTTTCCAGGCTGGGCCCCCACTCCTCCAGGCCGGCCCTGTGGCCCGGGTCCAGGACTCACCTAAAGACCTCTCGCGCATGCCCGCTCTCAGGTGAGGTCTCCCTGAAGAACGGGACGACCCGGGACAGACTGGCCCTCCTCCGGGACGCCCCGGTCCCCCCAGCGGACTTGTCCGCCACCCCGCCGAACCCTCCGGCCCGGGTCAGGGCCGTGGTCTGCTTCTTCAGGAACTTCTCCAGAGGTTTCATCCCGGCCGGCATGGTGGGTCTCCGGGCTTCAGGTGGGGGGTGGTGGTTCCGAGGTGCTCAGGGAGGCAGCTGGGTCCTACATCATCCGAACCCTGAGGGTCGGGCTGGGCAGGTGTGAGCGGACCCTACGGGTTCTGTTCTAGATTAGCGGTCCGGGTCTAACCGGTCCAGGTCTAACCGGTCCGGGTCTAACCCATGTGTGGAGGCGGTGCAGAGTCCGTCTCGGCTCTTGGAGCTCCTTCGGTCCAGAATCTGCTACAATCCGTCCGGAACCGGGCCGCTCCTCCCCCGGTTGCTCTCTGACTGCAGGAACACCGAGCTCCGGCTCCGAACCGAGTCTCCGGATCCTCAGGGTCCGAACTCCCGATCCGAGGAACCGAGGACGTGAAGACTAAAGACAGCCGAGCCTCCCTGGTTCTGGTGATCCGGGCTGCAGCTCCAGGTCCGGCTGGTCGACGGTTCTTCCTCCCGAACAGTCCTGGCTCACCTGAGGAGGAGCCGTCCTGCTGCGTTTGGGTGCAGTCGGTTTTCTTAGCCTCCGCTGTGTCTGCGGGTCTTGTTCGGATCCCGGGTTCGGTTCGGATGCTGCGGAGGTTCCGACGGTCCGTCAGCCCCTCGGTACCCTCCTCCCACCTTTCTGTGGGATAAGAAGTGATGGGGAGCGTGCGCGCGCCCGCCCCCTCTGCGCGGTTGTGGTGCAGTTTCCGACGCACAGTTCGGGCGCGCGCGCTCGCGTCCCCGCGTTCAGTGCGTAAAAAAAAAAAAACTGACGACTCTTGATGATCCTGAAGGAACATGCAGACTGGATCCAGCAGCACACAACTGACCCGGTACAGGACTGTGGGCCAGAACCTGACCCTGAACCAGCTGGAACAGAACATCTGAACATCTCCTCCAGGACGAGCAGATCCTTGAGCTTGAGACCTCCTGAGACCTGAACAACCTGAGACCTCCTGCGACCTGAACCACCTAAGACCTCCTGAGACCTGAACCACCTAAGACCTCCTGAGTCCTGAACCATCATCTGAGACTTCCTGGATCACCTGAGAGCTCCTGGATCACATGAGACCTGAACCATCTGAGACCCCCATGATCAACTGAGACCAGTAGAGAACGACCCTCACTCTGTCAGAAGAACCCTGATCCAGTCCAGACCTGACCCTGTTCAGTCTAGCTATAGCTGAATATTAATGAGGATGTCTGACAGCTGACTGGCTGTTTATTTTAGGCTCCGCCCCCTTCAGCTCATTGAGACTGAAGGGGCGGTCTTAATCAAAGGTTTGTGAGAAATCAATCTGATTTGGACTCAAGCTGTTCAGAAAAAAGAGAAAACAAATTTAAAACCGAATTTAAAACGGTTTTAAAATAAACGTTTTAATAAAAAATAAAAGATTCTGCTGAGATGAGAGTTCTGCGATGGAGTTAAACTCAAAGCTGCTCCTCAGATAACTTTATATTTGAAAGTTTCTGTTCAGTGTCCTGAGACGACTTCTGTTGTGATGCGGTTTATAAAGAAACTGAACTGAATCAAACGTCGGCTCCTTCAGTCCTCCAGAATCTCTGGGTGGTTCTGGACTAACAGAACCGTCTATGAAGAACCCACCTCATAAAGACCAGGACCTGAAGCAGGTGTGGGCAATACATGGCTCGAGGGCCTAAAGTGGCCCTTGGACGCTCACCATCCGGCCCCCAAAACTTCCTAGTTGAAAGGAAAACAATGAGGAACTCTGGACGGTTCTTCTTTGTCGTTTATTTATTCATTTAGCCTTTATCCAGAAGAGTTCTTCAGTCTTCAATAGAACCATCCATGTGAATTATTGAGCAGACGTTGGGACGAAAAGTTTTAAAAAAGAAAAGCTGCAGTTTATCAGTTTGAACAAAACATTTTGGACAAATGGATGAAGAGCTTTAAATTGTTTTCAGAACTAGGTTGAACCTTGAAGACTCCAAACAGCAAACACACATGTATAAATAAATATATACATTTTTATATTTAAATTACACATTTAGGCTAAAATAGTCACTAGAGCCAGTTTACAGAAAAAAAATCTTATTTTCCTGAAGAGCACTGAGGTGACGTATTTTTATCAAACGTGAACTATGCTACAAAAAAAAGCTCAAGCAATTCTAGATTATTTGTCAAAGTCCTCAAGCGACGTCAGGAGGTTCAAAGGATGCCTTCAAAGGTTCTAAGAACCCCCAGACATCTACAGCAAAGTTTCATGGGCCTAGAGACCCACGAAGTTCCACTAGACGCCATCAAAGATCTTGAAGCGACCACCAGACCATGAGGTCCTGAAGAAACCCCTAGAGGTCCACGAGACAGGTGGTCATAATGTAGTGGCTGATTAGCACCTGTACAAACTGCAGAATTTCAGTTTATCCCAACAGTTTTTAGTTTAATAAAAAAGGAGCAAAAAACATCTGTAGAACCTGTTAGTGACCAGAGTCACGTGAGCTCATGATGTCATCATGATGACATCATCCAGATCATTAATCACTCAGATTCAGTCAGAAGAAAAAACACTTTAATTTGTCAAACGTTTCATAAAGTTCAACAAAAACCAAATCATGAAGGAGAAACAAACATTAAAACTCAAATGGATTTCTGCAGAACAACGTGTTCGTCTCCTCGGTTCTGGTCCAAACATTTAACACGTTAAGAAAAAACAAACAAACAAACAAACAAACAAACAAACAAACGTCTGCCACCACAGATTAAAATGAATCAAATGAAAAACGTTCCGGTCCACATGAATCCATGACAACAGTCCAGGTCCAGCTGATCCGGTTCTGGTTCTGTTCGAGCGCTTATTTACATGTTTATATTTTTATTTACACCAACACTTAACCCTCCATCCAGCAGCTCCTGGTGGTTCTGGTCGTCTGTTGATCAATAAACTTTAAAGTAAAACGTTTTAATCTGAGGAGGAATTATAATTTAAACAGATTAATAATTTTGAACCAATCAGAAGAGCCGCTGAGGATGAAGCGCGATGATGAGGAGCATGTTTTGTCCTGATTCATTAACCGTGTTGTGACGTGCAACCGTTTGGTTCTGTTGGACCTTCACTCCTTCCACAGCAGCTGCAAGTTCGACCCGCGGAGCGGCTCTCCAGAACCGCAGGTCCGTCTTCAGATCGGCGCCGCCGCTCAGAGACGATCCAAGAGGTGACCGCAGAGCTCCAGTGTCGACACAGTCTGAATCCAGCAGCGGCACCGTGGTCTGTCTTGCCCCGCCCCCTCTTCGGTACCATTGGTGGTCTCTGATTTGGACCACAGCTCCTCACCGACCCTCCCACCCTGCTCCTACAGACAGATCAGATTAACCAGATTAATTTAGCAGGTTTACTCAAGTTTAGTGTCAGGATGCAGAGAACAGATTAGAGTCAGATTATAACCAGAATAAATCCAGTTTAGAGCTAGACTATAGAATGAATGACACCCAGCACAGCCCCATCATACCACACCTATAATCTGAATATTCATTCATTATTTATTTATACAGGTTAATCCCATTGAGCCTCGGGGACTCATTTTCAAGAGTGACCTGATTTTAACAGAGTGATGACAACAATAGACAATCATATATAGAATCATAATAGATTACAGTCCACCTATAATCTGAATATAGATTACAGTCCACCTATAATCTGAATATAGATTACGGTCCAACTATAATCTGAATATAGATTACGGTCCAACTATAATCTGAATAAATTACAGTCCACCTATAATCTGAATATAGATTACAGTCCACCTATAATCTGAATATAAATTACAGTCCACCTATAATCTGAATATA